TTATATGACAGCGTCTAAACGAACATTCTTGGCAAATGTCAAAAGTCTTTTAGACGTACAGAATGGTGTATATACAAGAAAAATTTTTCTGAGTAAATTTTAAAAAAAATATTTTTTTTATCCGATAGAAAAGATGACAAAATTCATCTCAGTAAACAAGTATATGTCAGGACTTAAAGAAGAACTAGACCCATTCACATATTTGAATGTTTACTTCTACCATTTTGAAAAGTCTTCATTTGACAAAGTTTGGAACATCGAACCAGTTAAGTTTGCTATTGTGACTAAAAATGGTGCGAAATTTGAAGACTTAGACATAGAAGGTTTGTTAACAGTCAAAGAAAGTTTTGACAGAAGGTTCTCAAACCTTAAAGAAGGCAAAGCATACAAACTTGTTATACCTTATGAACCAAAGAAAGCAGACGACTATGAATATTATGAGTCTAAAGTTGTTGAAGTTCAAGGTAAATTGGGTAAAAAGATTTTAGAGTCTAAGCCGGTGTTTGCTCCTAAAGAGGAAGAGAACATTGACATTGACCCAGAAATGTTCTAAAAATAAAATTTTATTTTTACATGTCAAATTTCTTTTTCTCTGGAACTGGCTCTGGTTCTTTCTTCTCTTCTTCTACTTTCTTTTCTTTCTTTTCTCTCTTCTTCTTCTCTGGTGGAGTTATGTCAAACTTCTCAGAACCATATTTTTGTAAAAGGTCTTTGTCCTTTAATAGCTCTTCTATTCTGTTTTCTATTTCATTTTCAAGAACAGCGCATGTGTCTTCTTTGCATTCTAAGAAGTTTTGTTGGACTTCATCTCTCCAAGAGGCGTCATCTCTGTCAACAAGTCTGTCATTGACAAATTTTAAGACTGCTCTGCTTAATGTTTTATGGTTCTTGTCATATTCCCAGAAACAGAACTTTAGAACAAATTCCCCTTTCTTGTTTACACTATGTAAGATTTTATGGTCGACAGATGTTTTGCTGTCGAAAAGCTTGTCTCGAATATATATAGCGAAATCGCTAGACATTTTCTAAAAGATAAAAATTTTAATTTTTCTAAAAATATGTTAGAAAAAAAGTTTGCTGACATTGACAAGAAATTTGAGAATGTTTTAAACAAGAACAAGAGGAAGTTGGAAAATGCTCAGATAAAACTCATACATGACAAGTTCTTATTTGCTCAGAATGGTATAACAGGTCTAATTGCACCACCTGGGTCGGGTAAGACTTTCACTTATCTTAAAATGGCTGCACAACAACAAGAACTAGATGAGAAGAACCCATTCTATGAGTTAGTAGTCATTTGTTCGACTTCTGGTCAATTTGACCAAACAGTCAATTCGTTCAAAGATATTATAAAAAAGTCTAAGTTAGTATGTATAAAAGACTCTGAGTTGTTGGATTGGATAAAGAAGTACCAAAGAAGAGTTTTGAAGTACAATGCTATAAATGAGTATATAAACTCGAAGTTTAAAGACCCAAATGAGGAAATGCAGAGAATATTAGAGAAGAAACACTTCAGAAACAAACAGAAAGAGATAGAGTACATTTCGAAGAAATTGCAATCTTACGATTGGAAGACTTACCCTCATAGATGTCTTCTTATCTTAGATGATTTCGCCTCTCATCCTTTGTTAAAGAATAGAGAACAAGACATGTGTCGAATTCTTAAGAAGCTCAGACACTTTAACATTTCAGTTGTCATTTGTGTACAGACAGCCAAGAGTTTAAGTAAGGATGTAAAGAGAATACTGACTGATATTATACTTTTCCCCGGATTGTCCGAAGACGATTTCATGGAACTTATGAAAGAGTCCATGGCAGGTAAGTTTGACAGACATGAACTATGGGAGAAGTACAAAGTCATACAAGACCCTCATACTTCTTTCAGAATTCATATCTACGCGAACAAAGTTCAAATTGTAAAAAGTCAAGCTTGAAAAATGTAAGTGTCTGAGTCTTAGTCTGTTGTGGTGCTGGGGCTGTCGGTTCTTCTGGCTTTGGAAGACATTCAGGAAGAGGAACGTCGGACATTCGTTTGTGTCCTGTCGGAAGGAAGGACTTTTCCTGTTGGAAGGAAATTTTTTTCCTGTTGGAAGGAAATTTTTTTCCTGTTGGAAGGAAATTTTTTTCCTATCGGAAGGAAGGACTCGGAATGCCAGAAGGATTTGACAAGACAATTTACCTTATAGAGCTACCTGAGCCATCTTTGGTGTCAAGCTTGAAAAATAAATGGTTCATCTACTCTGCTTGTTTGAAGTTGTCAAAATACTCTGTTATTTTTTCTTTCAGTAATGGCAAATCTTCTTTGAATGTAAGTATTGTACAACCTTTCATATCATAGTGTGTTTGAGGTAACGTATCTTGAACTATCTGTTTCACATCTTCATTCGGTGTCATTGAAATCGGTAAGTTTTCGCGATAGAACCAATTTCTGTTAGATTTGTAAATCTTAGCAAGGTCGTAAAAGCTTTTGTTGTTTCTTCTGACTAAATGCAACATAACCATATCTCTGTCTTCTTCATTTTCCATCTCTTCAGTATAAATCATATACTTATAGTTCTTTTCCTTTCCTTTTGGTACCGAACGTGGTATTCTTTTCTGTATGGTTTTGTCTTTGGATTCAAGCTTGTTCTCTAGCTCTTCACGTTCTTGTCTATGAATTTCATCTAACATCATGAAAATATAACAAGCATAGCGAGGTGAAGCCCACATTGCAACAGCATTTACAAGAAGTCTATGTACATACCAACCTCTCAAACCATTTGGCAAATTTTGACGATTTTCGTACGGAATCTCGACCCGCGGTTTTCTACCGGTCGCAAACATATGAGGAAATTCTTCTAAAAGTTCTTTTGTCTGTTGGTTTTCAAACCAATGACGTGCTTGCTTTGTAGAACGAAGAGCATTCAAAATACTTTGCATTTGGTACATGTCATCTTTGACCGAACGAATGAGACGTAACTGTTTGTTATACTGAACCCACTCGTATTCTTCATCTATGGCTTCATGAACGATAGCAGTTGTTGTGTTCTCTGTTGTTGACATTACTGTCTTTACATACAAAATAAAAAAATAAAAAAATAAAACTAACTTTATTTTCTATCTTGTATAAAAGATATGATTTCAGGGATTTTTTTTTACGAAGAGTAAAAGTTCACTTCGTCAAAAAATAACAGTTATATAATGAAATTTGGTCATTTTTTTCACGATTTCATAGAGTTTTGGCGACCAGGTTTTTTTACCTACTCGCAATTTTTCACGATTTTCATGAGTTTTTTTTACGATTTTCATAGAGTTTTGGCGACCCCGAAAAAAGTCTGGGTCGCATTTTTTCACGATTTTCGAATGGAATCTCTATCCTCGGTTTTTTCGAGGGTAGCAAGCATATGAGGAAATTCATGAAATTTGGTCATTTTTTCACTGTTTTCATAGAGTTTTTTTTACGAAGTGTAAAAGTTCTCTTCGTCAAAAAAATACAGTTATATCATGAAATTTGGTCATTTTTTTCGGCAAAAATATATTTTAGGTGAAGAGGTGAGATCTCACCTGTTTTCTCACCTCTTTTCTCACCTCTTGAATTTTCATGATTTCATCGTAAATGTTTTGTCAAGACTTCATCGTAAATGTTTTGTCAAGATTTCTTCGTAAATGTTTTGTCAAGACTTCTTCGTAAATGTTTTGTCAAGACTTCATCGTAAATGTTTTGTCAAGATTTCTTCGTAAATGTTTTGTTATGATTTAATCGTCAATGAGCGTAAATCAGGCAAAAATATATTTTAGGTGAAGAGGTGAGATCTCACCTGTTTTCTCACCTCTTTTCTCACCTCTTTTTCACAAGCGTCTTACATGAATTGTACGATGTATATTTGAAATCCTAAACAGTTTTGTGGCTTCGATTTCCTCTGTCAGTACATCGAATGTTTTAACAATGCCGAAAGTTTCTTTATATTTCTTCTTGACATCTGAAAGAAGGAAATCGTCAGCTGTTGGATAGTTTTTGTTCAGAAATGTCAACATGTCCATTTTATCTTCTGCTGGTTTCTCTGCTTCTTTCTTTAAATCAGCATAGTCGTTTCTCATACGTTCTATCTCTTTGACGGAGTAGTTATATTTCCTCATTGCTGCTTTACATTTTGAACATTGTGGGTTCATTTTTGCGTTATATTCTGAAACCTTACCTGCAAGTACGACTAAGGCGTCAATGGTTTTCTTTAACTCAAAAGTTGCGGGTTTTATCTGTTGGTTCCATACTTTACCTCTTCTATCTTCATCTCTTATCTGCCATACACACTCAGCAACTAACGAAACAAAGTTGTCGTAGGTCTTAAACTCCACCGATTTATATATGTCAGAGATGTTCTTATATAACATATCGCAGTCTTTGTCCATGACTTTGTGGTTGCAATGAAATCCAAGAAACTCATAGTTTACCTTACGAATGAACTTCTTTATTTCTACTGAGTCGGTTGCTTTGACTTCTATTTCATCGAATTCTGGAATAGTAAGCTTTTGTTGTTGTATTTCAGGAAGTTTAGGTAAATGGTCAATAATATCCTGCATTTCATAAAGATATTGTTCATTTGTTTCATCTTTCGCACTACAGTTTAGATCTCCTTGGAGAAGTTCTTGCTTTATCTTCTGGATTTCTGTTTCGAAAGTATATGAAGAAGGAATGAAGCTTTTCATTTCTACTAACATTGAAGTTGGGTTCATGACTAACGAGTTTGGTGTTGTTGTTGCTAACATGTTCTTACAATAAAAATAAAAAATATTTTTTTTAAAAAACTAACTTTATTTTTTATTTCGGGAAAATTCATGAAAATTCAACGGGTGAGAAAAGAGGTGAGAAAACAGGTGAGATCTCACCTCTTCACCTAAAATATATTTTTGCTGAAAAATGACCAAATTTCATGAAAATTCAACGGGTGAGAAAAGAGGTGAGAAAACAGGTGAGATCTCACCTCTTCACCTAAAATATATTTTTGCTGAAAAAAATGGTTCATTTACTCACAATATTTTTGTACAAAACAACCCCAAGCTTTTAACTTCTTTTCTGCAGCTTCTAATGCTATCTTAGCGAGTTCATATTCTCTAAATTCTCTCTTTAAATCTTCTTGTTCCCATTGGTCTAGTTCGTATGGAGAGTCTCTATAACCATAACATATCTCACGTTCATGTTCTATTTGTTTTTCGCACATTTTTCTAACTTCTTGTTCGAACAAAGGTTTTGCATTCTCTACTGTATCTTCAAGTTCTTCTTCATCTAATTTCTCATGAACTTTCTTGTCTATGGAGTCCAAAATTTTTCCAACTGCTATACAATATTTTGGAGAAGCCCACATTGCTATATAGTTTACAAGTCTTGGGTCTACATACGTTCCTCTAACCTGTTTGATTTCATCCGGAATTCCTGCATGAACTTTGTATAAAAAGCAACCGTCGAAATTCTTCCGGTTGGTATATTCTTCACAAAATGCTTGTTTTGAGGTTGAGCCACTTTTGGCTCGACCGTATTCGTTCATCCAAAACTCAAGAATTTCCTGCATTTTAGCACTATTGAGAAATCTGTTTAAATGGTTTAACTTTCCTGCTTCTCTTGCCATCTTTGTTGCATTTATATAACCATCCTTGTCTCTACGTAAGACTTCAATACAAAGAGATATAAGTGCCTTTTGTGAATGTTTCGCCATTAGATTTGTTCGTGAACTGGTTTGGGAATGGACTCGGTTGGTGGGACGTCGGACATTGTCTTGAAACAGTACAAATATTGTCTTGAAACAGTACAAATATTGTCTTGAAACAGTACAAGTCTTGTTCTGAAGCAGTACAAATACTGTTCTGAAACAGTACAAGTCTTGTTCTGAAACAGTACAAGTCTTGTTCTGAAACAGAAAATTTTTCTCACAAATTGAGAGCTTTTACGGGAAATTTGTTCTGAAAAAGTTCAAGTCTTGTTCTGAAAAAGTACAAGACTAGTTCTGAAACAGTACAAGTATTGTTCTGAAAAAGTACAAGACTAGTTCTGAAAAAGTACAAGACTAGTTCTGAAACAGAACAAGACTAGTTCTGAAACAGAACAATGGACAACATCGAGCCATTAGATGAGGCAATTTACCTTATAGAGATAAATGAAGTTGTTAAGCAGTACTCGGGCAAGGACAAAGCCAACAAGTCCCTCGGCTTCTGGTTGTCTGGAAGAGGTGCGCTGAAAATCGAAATTGAAACTGGAATTCCAATTCAAATACCAGAAAACACTCCTGTAGACGACATAAAGGAGATGAAGAAAGAAGCTCTTCTCAAGTTCTTTGCAAAGCGCCCATGGATACAACTTCCAAACAGAGAGAGTCCAATTCCACGAATTATACAAATTCTCAGAGCACTGTTCCACTTCTCGGGTCAGCCGTTCTACATAACCTCAGAAGGCGGCATCCAACCAGTTCAGTAAACATCTCATTTTAACTCACTTTTTTTCTATCTTAAGGAAATTCATGAAAATTCAAGAGGGTGAAAAAACAGGTGAGAAAACAGGTGAGATCTCACCACTTCACCTAAAATATATTTTTGCCGAATTCAGCAACAAAATTCAACGGGTGAGAAAAGAGGTGAAAAAACAGGTGAGATCTCACCTCTTCACCTAAAATATATTTTTCAATACTTTTTCAGCACTTTTCCGTAGTTGTATATGAAAGACAATTCGAGATAAAAGTCATAGTACAATGGTATTATATGTTGCACACCGTTTGTTGTGAACCAAACTTGAAAGTCAGAGAAACTGTTACTAGGTGGTTCGTAGAATTTAGAAGCAAAGTCATAAAAGTCCTTACCAATACAAAGAAAACTGTTGTTGCTTGAACTGAAACTTGCATGACATATGACATTTTGAGGGTCAAACACGTTTCTATAAACTGTCAAATCTGCTGGTGGAAGTATAAATTTAAATGGACCATCTGGTGGCAATGGTTCGTTCTGGTTTAGTAACCGAAGAAATTGTGCCCAAGAACGTTTGTCTACTCCCCAATATAAAAACTCTGTATCTCTTGGAGGGTTAATTTCAATCCTTTGAAATGAAACGGTTGAATTCATCTTGTCATATTCTAGTTTCAGGTAGTATGTTCCATTTAGTAAAGAGTGGTATTTTTCTTGAAATTCCCAGTAGTATTTGTTCATTTGAGTTTGAAAGTCATTTAGAGTCTTCTCAAGACTTTCGTCTGAACGAATAGTAAAGATTCTCATTTCGTCAAATCTGTCTATTAGACCATCAGAACCTTTATACTGCCCATGAAAATATACTGCAAACATAAACGCGTTAGTTCTATTTGAAAACAAAACTCTTCTTAATCCTATTGCCTTTGCATCTGAAGGACTTTGAAGCCAGCGGATTGGATAGTCAAATCTGTAAGCACCGGATGAAATTTCTTCATCTGAAATTGTCCTACCAGCATTTGTAAAGATATAGTCTAACGGTTTTGTATCTGCTGCTTTTGTTCTTTGTTTTTCAACCTGAAGCATTTAATATATGTAAAAATATACTGTTTTAAAAACGTTTTTACTTCATGCAATGTTTTATTTCATGCAATGTTTTATTTCTGTGCCGTCTTCAAGTATACCCCAATATTTCCTTTTCGATATTACATGAACTTCGGAAAATACCTTATCTAGCTTAAAAAAGCCCATCTTTTCACCGACCATTCCCATTTCAATGAGTTTGTTGTATCCTTCTTCGTTCGTCATGAGTGCGTCAATGTTCTCATAGTAAACCACAACTTTGGATTTGACTTCGGAGAAGAATTTGTTGTAGTTGTCAAGTACTGCCTTTGCGAACTGAGGGTAAGACCAATGTTCGACAATAGGTTTTAATGTGGTTACTAAGCCATTTTGACCTTGAGTGAATTCGTACTTCAAAACAAAAGGAGAAAACCTTTCAACAAAGTTGTCGACCTTCTCATAGTGTTTACTCTTCATCGCTTGAGGTTTCTTAATGGAATATCCCCATGTCGAATTCATAAGCAATTTGAGTGTCATTGCAAGTTTGGGGTTTGAAGCTTTCCTAATATCATACAGTTGTTGTATGACTTTTCCAACTGTATAGTTCCTTCCCGGGAACTCACCATCTTCGTTTGGAATTCCAGTCGGAATATATTGGACAAACCTCATGTATGCAGCGTTAAGGTCGACATAGTATATCTTTTCATCTGAGTCGAACTTGTCGCAACCTATTGGTCCAGTTTGTGGAAATTCAAGTGAGTCTCTTATCTTCTGAGAAACTTCTCCTGTTATCTCATAAACATCGTCGAAGCAACCTGTTTCATATAAAACCTTCTGACCTAACTCTGATGCTCTCCAATACAATTTGACGTCAATTGGATGTCTCAATGGAAGTTTGTTTATAGCATCTTGAAGTTCTTGCAACCTCATTGGAAGTTCTTCTGGTTCAGGTTGGTATCCGAACAATCCAACTCCTTGTGGAACTGTGTACTTCTTTTGTACTATAACTTTGTCTGGAACAACTTTTGGTCTTGCTAACAATGAAAAGTTTGTTTCGTCTTTTGGTACAAAAGTTTCTGTCAGCTTGTCATCTGGAATTGGTTCCAACAAACCTTTCTCGAAAAGAATGTTAACAGCTCTGACAATGTTGCACTTGCCTTTTCCGAACAATGGGTTTGTAAGACTTTCGTTCAACATGAAGTGGTTGTGGACAAGTACAATCTTCAACCATGGTAAGTCTTTGTCAACAACATAGTCGTCGTGTGAAGAACCTTTCTCAGTCGGAATGTTGACTCGGATATTGACATTTGCCAACGGTGCAACTTTTGCCAATTGACCTCTGAGAATGTACCTTGTCTTCACACATGACTCAAGATACTTCATCTTCTCATCTGTAACAAGACCAGAGTTCCTGAGACATGTAAGAATACAAGGTTCATTGACAATTGTTTCAATTGAATTGTAAATTCCATACCTTGTCAAGTCAATGTCAGACTTATTTCTGAACGGAAAGTATCCAGCATGTTGTCTGACTGCTTGAGGGTTATGTTGGTACCATTCGAACTTTACACTTGCAATTCCTTCAATTGCATTCAAAATATCTGAGTCGGAGTCAACCATTTGTTCTCTCTTTGTAGTCTTGAAAGCGTCAAGAAGTTGTGCGGCTGTTGTGACATTGCCATGTGCATAGTAAATGTGACCATCCAAATCTGTTATGGTCAATCTGAGATTGTATCCTTTCTTATTTCCGTCTTGAATTGCAGCAAGTACACCCATGAAGCCTTCTTTGTTCTTTCCTTCGTCAAAGTTTACTGTAAAGGTTCGACCAGATGTAATTTGACTTCTAACTTCACGATACTTTTCATATGCATATCTTGTTCTTTCCATGGGAGCATGTGTGTCTTCACCTTTTCCTTTTTTCCTTCTCAAAGGATGCAATTGTTCGTCATGTTTCCAGTAGAATCTGGCAAAGCCGTCGTGTCCTTCAACTTGCGGTTCACTAACATCGAAAGGCATGTCCATAAGACGTTCTTCTTCTAACCTCTCTAGTCTGTTTGGATAATTGGCACGTGCTGTTTCCAAATCCATTTCGTAGCGAAGACCAGACAATTTGTCATAGACTTTTATGGGTCTTCCCTTCCTATATTTAAACTTCTTCGAAACTCTCCAACCATATCTTTGCAACTCTGCTTTTATTCTAGCAGATTTTCTATCCATTCTATATGGGGGCATTTTTATAAAAATAAAAATATACTGTTTTCTTTACTTTACATAACCGCCTGCTACCAGAAGTCTTTGACGCCAACCCATACCAGCTAATGAAGGTTGACTTGGTTTAGTTTGGAAACTAAACTTTGGTTTTGGTTTATCTTCAGTTTTTGGTTTTTCTTCTTCTATCTGTTTTTCGTCACTTTTCGGTTCCTCTGACTTTACTTCACTTGCAGGAACAGTTGTGTCGTTAACATCTTCATAAATATCATATGCCATTTGTTTTTGTTTTCCTTTCAACTTTTTGTGTTTGTTGTAAAGTTTAGAATATTTCGACTCTAAGTCAATGAGATGTTCTATAATGAACTGTTGGTCAGTGAAGTAAACTTTTCCATCTGTTGTCTCGAAAGCTCCTTCAGACTTCAATATTTTATTTGTGAGAGTCTGTTTCTTTTTTGAGATACTAGCCGTTCCATTTTTATGAAAAGTGACTTTGTAGTTAGGGTTTGTATTTCCAGACCTTGCACCTTCTATTATTGAATTTTTCTCTTCATCTGTAAGTTCTTTGACGGGTTTTGACAATGGTTCTGAACTTTTTGTTTGTGGTGTCAAATCTACCGTTTCAACTTCTTCGGTCATTTCATCTCAGTAAAAAATTTTAGTTTGGTTTGTTTTCAACTGGTTGTTTAGGTTTTTTAAGTCGGTCTAAAACTTCCTGAGGTATAGGAAGAACTTGACAAACACGTTGTGTAACTGCTGGAAGCCGACAAATCCATCTTGAACCCATTTGTCTCAATGCTGTATTGTTCATTTCATCTCAGTAAAAAAATTTACATTCCCCACGTTTGAGGCGGTTGAGGTTGGTTATTGTTTACCCACTGTTGTGCATGGTTATATCCTCTGTTAAAGAATCTTTCCTTGGTCCATATAGTGCCCTGCTTGGTTATAGTAGTCATTTGCTTTGTTATAATAGTTTCCTGCTTGTCTTCCTACATTGTCCATCCATCCTTGAACTTTTCCTCTTGTTTCAGGATTTGGAATAAGATTTGTTGCATCTCGTGCTACCTCCCAACCTTTCTGTACAGTTTGTATAATAGGTTGTGCTTTCTCTTTAAGTATACCTAATGTACTCAAAATCTTCCTTCCAACTCCAAATACACCTCTGGCTATTGTTCCCACTGCGGGTAAAAATCTAGATGCGACTCCTGCTAATGCGCCAAATAAACCCATTTCTTATGGGTTAAAAATGACGAATTCAAACAAGGACCCCTATGTTTCTAAGGCAACAAAAAGCACTCATGATAAAAATCTTTAGTTCAACACCAAATGCTTGGTTTATGGATATCTTTGAAAACATTCCGAGGTATAGAGAAGATGGACCACCATACTGGCTAATATTTGTTGGTCAAAACACAAGATACTGTGAAGCCATACCATTATGGTCCAAAAATATTTTAGATGTGAAAACTGCTTTGACAATATTCGTTGACAAATACCATCCAACAAAACTGACATCTGACTGTGAAAGTTCTTTCAAATCAGACGATATTAAAAACTATCTGCGTTCAAAAAATGTAAACCAATATTTCATTGTCGACCAAAACCATTCTGCTCTTGTGTCATTGACAGTTGTATAAAAATCTTAAGAGACTTAAACCAACCACAAGGTGGTGAGGTAGATGAAATGTCATATGACGACAAATATAGACACTTCTCCATGGCAAAGATGAGACAAGTTTTAAATATTTACAATAACCGTAAACAAAAAGGTTTGGGAAACCCTCCCCGAGAAATGAAAAACAACCCTAACTTAGAGAAAGACTTTATATTTAACAATTTAGTCAAAAGAGACAAACAAGAAAGAATGCCAGGCTTCAAACTTCAGAAAGGTGACAAAGTAAAAATAGAAATACCTAAACGCGACCCATATGAAAATACTATTGACTATGACAACAATGGGAACCCGACAGGTACTCACATTCGTGTTCGTAAAATAGAAGAAAGTATACAAGAGAATATTATGAAGTTTTAGGCAAACATGGCAAAATGTACACACTGCAAGCAGAAGATAAAACTACTATTGTCAGACCTCGTTTCAAACTTGTCAAAGTTCAAGGTGGTATACTTTCAAAGACAGTTCCTAACAAATATAAGACAACTCCTGACGAATATGCTAAAGAAGTTGAAAATGACGACTAAGCATTTCTATACCATGCGTAAACTGTCATGTAAGGTGGCATGTAGTCTTTACTTTGTCCCGTTGTTTGCGTATACCCTGAAACGAAATGTGTATGGTCTCCTCCTACCTCAGTGTTACTCAGGAAACAATTTATAGCAAACTGAACGTTGTTTTTAACATCATATCCTTTACCTTTTGTCATTCCTGACCAATCCCAATATTTATGCCTATGCCCACCTTCTCGAGATGTAGTTAAACTTACGTAGTGACTGTGCGCAGGTAAATTTGCACCTGAAATCGTTTTACTTCCACCTGTTTCCTTTGAAGAGTTTGCACAATACAAAAACCTGTCGACTATTTGAGTCCAAGTTCCAAAACCAAGTACTACTTCTGGTCTGGTAGAGTTCATTGACGTATAAATAGAACCTATAGGATATAATGTTTGAAGTATTTCTGTCTTTAATGTTTGAAGCTCTGTTTTGTCAGCTTTCTTATCTAACATTGTTGGTAGTTCATATGCTTCAAAGTTTCTGGCATGCTCTTCGATATTCCTGCAACTGTTATCTAAATTGTTAAGAGTATCTTTTACGCTTGTACTCGGATTCTCTGAAGGTGCACTTGAACCAAGGTCAAAGTTCAATATTATATCATCTGCTGTAAAAGTTGTAAAACTTGTATGTGTATGGTTCTTATCCGCTTTAAGGTCTAAACATCCTGAAACCCATCCTGTATCAGCTTTAGTTTTTAAAATCTTTGTTGTCCTTTCATTATACCATTCAACCCTTTCTTTAATTTCATTTTCTTTTTCATCCACATATTCCTTATCTGCCTTCTTCACTAACGCACTAGCCACACATGCTAACTCATCGTTAACATATGTTTTATCTGCTTTCTTTTCAACATCCTCTTTCGTTGCATATGTTGCATCTGCTCTGTCATGTTCTTCTTGAACTTTTTCAATGACATACTCTTTGTCAGCTTTGTTGTCAACATCTGCTTTCAAAAGAAGTTCTTTTATAGGTTTCTCGTTTAAAGTTCCTTTTGTTGGATTTATACAGACAGTATTGTTCTTCTTGTCTTGAAATAGAAACTCATCTGTCATTGGGTTTAATGTCAGTTTTAAGTTTCCTTCTTTCAATGACTCAGATATCTTAGAATAGTTTGAAAAGTTTGTTGTGTTCTTATTTAGAGCTTGTATAATGAGTTGTCGGTTGTGTTGTATTTCTCTCATAGACGCTGTTTCTTTCGACATTTTTATTCTAGATAAAATATGCTTTCAATAGAAAAAGAAAATTCAAGAGTTGCTACAACTAAACCATTAGATGAACTTTTTACTAATGTCGGTCAAAAGTTTGAGACAGAGACCGTAAAGCATGAAGGCTATCGTTTTGACTACCCATTGAGATGGTTAAGAGACCCATCTGTCACAAAAGCTATTGGCTTTCGTAGAATGAAGTTCATTTCAGAAGCCATACATGGTTTCCCATTTACGGTCGGTTTTGAAGTTCGATACTATAACAAAGAAAAACGTACGTATGAGAAATTTGAACAGGGAAAACTTTTACAAGTGAATTTGCTTGTAAATTTAGAAACAACTCTTCAAGCTTTTCAAGAAAAAATAAACGATATCTATCTCGAATATGCAAAACAGTATAACATTGACGAAGGAGAGTACCATCTCGATATTATATATGACAGGAAAAATGCAACTGTTAAAATCAATAGAATAGAAGACCTTGGAGAAAACGTTTATATTTCTACAAAATATAACAACTTGGCATGGTATAGATTTTTGAGGATGTTAAATCAGCCTGCAGAATATCCAGTACACCCGGACTTTTATGAAGTCGAAAACCCTAATGGAACATATGAAAATGTTTTCGACCAAGATGCTATTATAGTTCATGCTTCATTTTCTGGTGCGCAAAACTCTTTTTTATGCTTGGCAAATGACTTTTACGAAAAACCTACAAAGTTATACGAACCGCCGAGTGGAAGTATTTCAGACTTTCAAGTATGGTTTACTACAGATGGAAGAAAGAGAATAATTCCATTATACCATGCGTTTTACTTAGAACTTAGTTTCATATACAACTACTATCGAACGGTAAAAATATAATTTTTTAATACGGTTGAGGTGTTGGATTTGGTTGCCAACTAGACTGTGGTGCAGGTTCAGGCTGTTGTATAACAGGAGCTTGTTCTTCTGGTTCAGGGTCTTTAGGTATAATACCAACAAACTGACCTACTCTTTTACCAATATTTTTGACACCGTTCCATACTCCTCTTCCGACAGATTTTATTCCATTCCATATACCTCTTCCAACATTTCGAAAGAAGTTTCCAATACTACTGAAGAAACCCATTTTACTATATGTAAAAATCTAATGTCCGCCTAGTCTTTTGCGTTTCCTGTTGAGTTCCATAGCATTCTTTAACTGGAGCTCATACATTCTATTTCTCCTCTGGTAGAAAACATATTCTGGGTCAACTCCTGTGTTCGCGTCATCTGCATAAAGTTGTTTATATCCCACTTCAGGGTTTGTATAAAACTCTTTCCATCTCATATTTGCATACCATGGTGGCAAACCTAACGCAGCGTCATTTGACATGGCAGTTTGCATTTGTACATCTGTTGGCACTTGACCATAGTTTGCCATTGCAGTTTGTATTCTAACTTCATTTGGAATATTCTCTGGGTTTGGTTGTCCAGGTTGCTGTGCATTCGCTAAGTTCTGTGCGTCCATTTAATATTAGATAAAAATATCTCTTACGAGTACATATACTGAACATTTGCTGGCATTGGTTCATCTTCATATTCTCTATATCTTTCTGCCACGTCAAATAAGTAAATGACACAATGGAAAAAACCTAAAACAAGTAGTCCTATTTCAAACCACATTTACTTACCAATAAAATTTCTTTGTTATGACACTTTCTCCGGTTTATAGGACCTCTCTCATATTCTATCTTGTCATATCTAAACTCATAGTCATGTATGTCCTCTAACCATCTCATAACGGTTTCCAAACCACTTTTATCGGATGTAAAGTAAAAGCATGGATGGTTATGTAAAACGTCTAAAGTTTCTAAAGAGTCTCTCAAAGTCCAGTCTACTTGGTATTGAAAATCCCATGTGTTATAGAACGGCGGGTCCACTATAAAGAAAACATTTTCCTTGTCTTTATATTTTTCATACAACTCTGTCCAATGACATCTCACAAACTCTATACCCTCAATATATTTTTCTATGTTCTTTTTGAAAACCTTTGTATAGTTAAGATATAAAACTTTTGACATAAGTGTTTCAATGTCATGAACTCTTATAGAACCACTATATAATAGTCTAGCAGATATACTATCCCAGTCAATATATTCTGCTTTTTTCAAAACCTCTCTCACAATATTTTTCTTATCTAATGGTATACTTTCCATCTTACCTATAGGTATCTTTTCTTTTAACTCTTTCAATATATTGTTTGTGTCTGGTATATGTTTGAGACGGTTCATATAGTTGTCGAAGTCATTGCATATAATCTTTGAGTCTGGGAATACGGTATGGCACAAATGGGATATATAGAAACTTCCACCGAACAAATCTACAAATGTTAGACCATTCGGTAGTTTCTTAAGTTCTCTCAATAGAATATCTTTACATCTACTCTTATTTCCAAAGAACGGTAACGGTGGTTTTGTAAAATTCATTTATATATAATAATAAAAATGTTTTTTCCTGAAAAGTGACAGAAAAGTGACAAAACATGAAAACATATATAATTTGTGAAAAGCTCCTGGAAGCCCTCCGAATAAAAACTTCATTTATACTAAACATCTTCGGGGCTAGAGGGCACGAAGTGCCTGGAAGCCCCACTACCTTTTTTTTTTTTTTTTTTTTTTTAAATAATTATAAATTTCAAGTTAAATTTTAATTTTGATAAATAATTTAAATTTCAAAATATCAAGTTCAGTTCGACTATGTATGTAGTAATTCCTCAATAAAGTGCCAAAACCCTATTAAAATATACGAACATTTTCAACATTTTAATGTTTTTTTTTAAAAATTTGTTGGAATATGAGCTTCAAACAATTATTATGTAAATAAAAATAATTAAATATATGTATTTATTCGTATTACAACCGTAGTAAGTCGATTCTTCCTTTCTTCTACTGAGTTTTGAATTTGATTTCGAATTGTAAAGAGATTCAAAGGGAAAATACTAGCGGATAAAAACTACCTCCATGAAAGGGTCATAATGGAGTCAAGTTGTATTTTTTGATATTTTTTGCTTTTCGAGCCTAAATAGGTAGCCAAGATAATGCCTAAAAATAAGGTTCTAAATTCTGAAGTTTACATGATCCTCTTGTGTGCACCCTTAAAAAGTATAAACTAACCATATATTAAGAAATTTTGATATTAATGGTTGATTCAATGTTGGATGGATAAAAGTTTAGCATTTTAGAACAGATTAACATTAAAATTTTATATGATATAGGACAGGAGATTTTTCTAGGAGGTAATAATGCTTAAATTTAAGATTTATTTTAATTTTAATGCTTTTTGGTTTTTCAGTAGCACTGACCAAATAAATGTATTCTATTTCTAAATGCTCATTGCTATACTTGTTAATTTGAGAAATTTATTAAAAAAACAAAATAGTAAGATAGAAACAACTGGCAAAGTCAGAGAAATGCATGCTATCAGTAACAATTACTTGCGATGCTAATTGAATAAAATATTTGGAAAAAAAATTCTTCTTAGCAAACTGTTTCATTAATGATAGTCTTGGATTCTACTTGCATTTGCTAAATATGCTTTCAGTTGCAAAATTTATATGTGTAAAAGCGATAATAAACCTTCAGAAGATTTTGAATCAAAAATGGTTTTACATTCAATTTTCGTTTTATAAAAATATAATTGCAAAGAGAAAGTAGAAAATAGTTGATCAAGTGGCGCCCATTCTTTTTGAAATTTTGAAATGTATTCAAAATTAAGGAATATTGAACCTTCTTATAATCGGTGACATACAAATATTAACTAATTATGCAATAAGTTCGCCTTCTCAAATTTTTACAATAAGAATTTGGCCAAATTCTTATTTAAAATTCACTGCTTGTTATATAGAAAACCCGATTATCTTATTTTAGAATGAGTTATTAACGGTAAAAAGTATTTGTAATCTTCTCAAAAAAATGTTAGAGAATTTTACATTCTCCTTAGAACCCACTGTATATGTCAATCATCTTTTCAATAAATTAAATGAACACGTTAGGCATTAATATTTCTCCTTTCAAAATTTTGAATCAAATCAAAAGATCATTCAAAACTACCCGTATGAAAATTTTTCACATACTGTTATTGCTATTTTTGTAATAAACAGAAATTCATCAAAAGTGACGGCTCTCAATTTTTTGACATTTGTAAATTCTAAATTGAATGAGAAAAATGAAATAATACTAAGCATAATACAATATTCTAGATTTAATTATAATTAGGGAAAAGTTAGTTTTGAGAGTACTTTTCATAGGCATATAGAATGAAATCTTCTGAAAAATAATATCACATAAACTCATATTATTTTCTAATATATAACTATTTTATATAAAAATCAAATTCAATGATCTTAAAAGCGAAGGATAAACCTCAAAATTTACGAATATAATGAGTGGGAATATAATGCTTATCTATCATAAAACCATATGAAATATCAATTTTTGCTTTACGCCTAATTTTTGACGACAATTAGCAAAAAATGTTAAATGTTAACACTCAGTCCATTTGAATATGAAAAATAAAATTGACTTTGATTAAATGTTTTTATTTATCATGCAATTCTTCTTGCGACCAAAGATTTGAATAAAAGTTCAAAAAATAAGATAGCTTAAAAATAATATACGGTAGTGTTTACTAATAGATGAATAGTATATAAATTCTATTAAAATGGATTTGATCCAAAAAAATATATAAAATTTGATCATAAATAAAATCGTTTTAAATTACTTCTTCATTTAAATTATAACAATTATTTTTGGTTTTATATTTTTTTGGATCAAATCCATTTTAATAGAATTTATATACTATTCATCTATTAGTAAACACTACCGTATATTATTTTTTAAGCTATCTTTTTTTTTGAACTTTTATTCAAATCTTTGGTCGCAAGAAGAATTGCATGATAAATAAAAACATTTAATCAAAGTCAATTTTATTTTTCATATTCAAATGGACTGAGTGTTAACATTTAACATTTTTTGCTAATTGTCGTCAAAAATTAGGCGTAAAGCAAAAATTGATATTTCATATGGTTTTATGATAGATAAGCATTATATTCCCACTCATTATATTCGTAAATTTTGAGGTTTATCCTTCGCTTTTAAGATCATTGAATTTGATTTTTATATAAAATAGTTATATATTAGAAAATAATATGAGTTTATGTGATATTATTTTTCAGAAGATTTTGTGTTCTTCTTCAAAATTTTATTTTTTTATTAAAAAAAATCTTTACAAAATATACATTTACTTTAATTAATATTTAAAAACGTGCTCTATCAAAAGTTCCAAAAATTCAATATTTTAGCTTTTCTGAAGTGTCACTTTTGATGAATTTCTGTTTACAACATTTTGAATTCCTTATAACCGATGCAATAATTTAATTTCAGAAAAAACGATTTTATTTCAAAAGATTGCAAAATGACCGAGGAAAAACAGAACTCTGAAGAACTTGAATTCTCCAACTTCAAGGGGGACTATCCTGGTATCCTCGATGTTTCACCTTTTGAAAGATTAACAGAATGGCTTTACTTATATTACGCATGAATCCAAACTGATACTTCACCAAAGTTCTTTCTATCTATTGTAAGTGCAGTATTTGTTCTTATCCAAAGTATATTCCCTGCGTTCTTACAACAAGCTGTAGCTCAAAAGGATACTTCGTTTATTGCAAAAATTATGCAAATTATCTCCGTAATTTGGATAGGAGGAGGCTGCTTCGGTTCAAATGGCCCCTATATTACATCAATTATTGCATCATCTATCACAATTATCCTTATTATCTCAATTTGTATCCGAGCAAGAGTTTATGCAAGTTATAAATCAATGAAACCTATCGAAATCAATATAATGTTCGCTATCTCATCATATATCTTCCCAATTTTAACAAGTTTTACCACAAATTGCGTTGGCTCGACGATATATAACTTTGTAAAAGGAAATGTCGAAGCAGTCCAGGTTGTTGGCTTTATCTTAGCCATAATAGCATTTTTTGTGCAGGTATATATGCAATACAACTTCATTTCTCCAAGAGTTATGTTCCTTCACGATGTTATGTTGATGTGGACACCAGGATCAGCCGCTCTAGTTACATTTGCCTTAGAAATTAACTCAGCTTTGTTCACAGCTACTATCCAATCTGATAAAATTTCATCAACCGTTGAACTTGCAGTTATTTTTATTATTTCATATGTTATTGGTATCTATTTGTTCCTTGACTCAATGTTTCTTAACAAAATATACGGTAACATCTTTTGTTCCATGCTTATTTCAAACGGATCATCAAGTATATTGAACATTGTAGCACTTTACACGAAAATTGACTATAATATCTTGTTCTTTATTATAATTATCTTTGTTATTCTTTCATATTTGATATTACATTTCATGCATTCGAAATTTTCACAAATTTCTATGGTCAGACTTGATTCTGCATCACAAGATGAGTATTTCTATGGTCGTAGTGACAATTTAGCACGTGATGTTCGTAGGTCATTAGATTATTGTTCACCAGGTATCTTCATGTTCCCTATTTACGACCAATTCCTTGAAGAAAACAATGATATCAAAGACATGTTGTTTGTTTATGTTCGTATTGTTTCAGCTTTTCCTAGTTATAAATACAAACTTGAAGTTGTTGATGATTATCTTAAGAAATCATCAATAAACTGTCGTAGTTTGTTGAATTTCCAAGTTCAGTTGTTATTATGTCATCGAAATACAGCTGCTACATCAAAAATAGTCAAAAAATTTGATTCTATTGACTCAATTTCAAAAATTTTGACAAGTAACACGAAAAAGTTTTGGGAGAATGTTTTACATGGAAACACAGATGCCTTTTGGCCAAGTTTGTTAACATGCGATTCATTGTCACGCGAGATGTCAAAAGAGATCAGTCAACTTGTCAATAACTACATTTAAATTTTCAGAAGCACGAAGATTGAAAACAGACTTAGATATGCTTGAGAAAGGTATTCCAGCACATAAAGACAGAGCACTTTTGAACATGATTTCACTTTTCCCTAATGTTATGAACTCTATTTCTGATCTTACTAAAGAGATTGATATTGTTGGCAACTCACTTAACAATGAAGAAGCAGACATCAACGAACTTAACAAGAAAGAAGTTATTTCTGATCTCATCAATAACTCAAAACTTGGAAATTACGCATATGTTATTATTTATTTTATTGTTGTTTGTGTTTTGTCGATAGCAGGATTTTGTATATATACATTGATTTTCAAATACAAAGTATTAGATAACATTGCAGACAGTGCGAATTTCTTGTATCAAGCAGATTCTATGTTACATCATTATTCTAATTACTTGTTTTTGAAAGTTATGAATTATGCATACAACAAAGCACCAAATTCCATTTTCAGTAATTCAGACACTCAAATGAACAAGATTTCACCATTTTGGTATAAATCAGGTCATGCAAAGAAGATTGAGATCAATGATGAAACAGTTGCAAATAATATTGGAATAATTTTATTATATGTTGCAGTAAATGGATTAGGTTCCTGATCGCCAGCATGTAATTTCCTTTTGATATTTAATGATTTATTGAGAGTAAAATTATAATGTGTTTCTGAGCTATATATATGTTGATGTTGATCAATAAAAACAAATGAAATTGAAAAAGATTTGTTATTTAGTTTGTTGTCAAGTCGAATGTAGTGTGAAAATGAAGAATTTGGATGAATGTTGATATATTCTGAATTAAATATGTTGTATTGTTGATGTTGATTATTTCGTTCAAAGTAATAATGTAATTCATATGTGTGATTAGAAATAACAGGATGTTCAATAAATCCATGGATTGCAACAAAATATTCAGAGTAAATTCGTGAAATACTATGATTTGAAATGATAACTTTCATAGATGGATATTTTGTGTATGTTTGAATTGACTTGATAAATGTAAAATTATGTGATGTTTTTGGTAATATGTTTTGTTGATATAATTTAATAAGAATAAAAGATTCATTTTCTTCAAAATATGTGTTTTCATCGTTAATCGTGATGACTTTAGTGTGTGTTTCGTTATATATTGTAAGAATACAATCATCATGTGAAATATGATATTTATTATTATCATAATGTATTATGAGTTCATATGAAACTTCATGTTCAACTTTGTCTGAGTTAAAAATGTTGATATTGTAATCATTTTCATTAGAATATCCTTTGAAATGGCAGTTATTGATTTCATATTCGTCATATAATGAACTGTTTGAATAATAATTAGTTTGATCAACTTCGAAATTTGCTTTAAAATCTGTGTAAACAAAATCTTTGAAAATCATATCATATTTAAGTGATGATATCATTTATTTGTATTGAATAATTCTCTCAGTTCATGAAATAATATGGCCAGAATCAATCCGGCCATATTAAAATTTCTGATCTTTACAACGATGTATTGAAATATTTCCGAAATCCAAGTGAAAAATGAAAAATATTTTCATTCGAATAAGAAGCAATATGTGTATTCTATGATGAAATGTTTTTACAAACGAAGGATAGTTAAAAATGGAGGGGTAAAAATAAAATCAAATTAATTTAAAAGACGACAACATATAGATTTTATTAGTTTAGGCGGTGGCCCCATGGGATCTAAGAATCTTCTTCACCTGATCTGATTTAGCAAATCTTAATGGTGTTGCACCACTGTTATCTGTTTCATTCACATGAATCTGAGGGAATGAACAAAGATATTCAACAATTTGTGGGAAATCATAGAAAGCTGCATAATGTAATGGTGTCCAATTTAATCGATTTGTTGCATTGACATCAACAAAGACAGAGAAGTATCTAATTGCATCAATGTTACCTTTCTCTGCAAATTTATGAAGAACTGTCCAGTTTCCTGAGTCCTTCGAATTTGCATCTGCTCCACATTCATGAAGCATCTTGCAAAGTAGGAAATTGTTACTTCCTGCAGCTTGTATCATTATATCACTACCATCTTTTGAAACTTGATGATATTCGTGCTCAATTGCATATTTAATTGCTTCTTTGTCTTTTTCTGTCACGCATTTGGATATCAAGTCATAGATTTTATCAAAATCCTTACTGCTCTTCTTCATTTTCTTTAATGCTTTGACGTTTTGGTTAGTAGAATTCTTTGACGATTTATTGTTAGGATTATTAGCTTTTTCGCTTTCAAGTCTATTGATAAGGTCTCTCTGTTCTTGGATTTCTCTTGTTTGGAACAATAATCTATTTCTAAGTTCTTCATGTTCTTGAGATTGGATGTCACTCAAGATCTGGGAGAGATTATTGATTGTATGCTCTGCTTTCTCAAGTTTCTCTGTCTTCTTGTGTACTTTTCTTCTTAATTTCTCATTTTCTGAAATTACATTCAGATTTTCTTCGTTAATGATAGCATTTTGTTTGAAAATAGAGTCAATCATCTCAAATATTGACTTTGTAGAAGGTGCTTCAAGAATCATTTCAATGGCTTTGACCAATTGAACAACTCTTGGGTTTGCTTGTGTATTTTGAACATTGGCACTCTTGAAAATGTTGCATGCCTCAATTGTCATTGAAATCCTCTTGCATTCCTTAACTAAAATAATGGCATGTGAAATTGTTAATTCAAACAAGTTCATTGGAACATAGTTTATTTGATTCATCATTTGTGATTGGATTGCATTTGTCAAAGTAGTTCTGGCAATATCTTGTAATTGCATCATAGTTAAGGGTGCACACGAGAGGATCATGTAAACTTCAGAATTTAGAACCTTATTTTTAGGCATTTTCTTGGCTACCTATTTAGGCTCGAAAAGCAAAAAATATCAAAAAATACAACTTGAGTCCATTATGACCCTTTCATGGAGGTAGTTTTTATCCGCTAGTATTTTCCCTTTGAATCTCTTTACAATTCGAAATCAAATTCAAAACTCAGTAGAAGAAAGGAAGAATCGACTTACTACGGTTGTAATACGAATAAATACATATATTTAATTATTTTTATTTACATAATAATTGTTTGAAGCTCATATTCCAACAAATTTTTAAATAAAAACATTAAAATGTTGAAAATGTTCATATCTTTTAATAGGGTTTTGGCACTTTATTGAGGAATTACTACATACATAGTCGAACTGAACTTGATATTTTGAAATTTAAATTATTTATCAAAATTAAAATTTAACTTGAAATTTATAATTATTTAGTCATATTTTGCATAATTCTAAGTAGATTTTGTAAAAAATCAAGAAAGAAAAATTTTAACGTTCTTTATTTTTTCTTTTTTATAATAATACATATTATTATATAATTAACATATTCATAATGGTTCACCCTTTCAAAAATATAATCCTCCTCCTCTCAAATAAACGTACATACGGGTGGCCTCTTTTTTCAAAAAATTAAAATTTGAAATTTTGGGCTCAAATATTAGAGATTTTTTCAACCTTCAACGATATATGTTGTCTATATCAGACCTCCTTTCTTTTTGATACTTAACATTGTTCCTAAATCTTAGCCGTTAAGGCTGTTCTGAAAATATCTTTTTTTCGAAAAAATTCGAAAAAAATTCTTAAAATTCAAAAATCCCTTATTTCCTGAGGATTTTGGAAAAAAGTTTTTACATGAACATGTGTATATTATATGAAGTATATTGATAAGGTAAAAATCAAATTTTATTGCATATTCATCGAGAAAATAAACTAACGAATCCCTCAAAATTGAGAGGGTAATCCTCCTCCTCTCAAATAAACGTACATACGGGTGCACCCTTAAGATCGTTGTTGATCTTTTGAGTCATTATGAAACAATTTTGAATGTGTTGCTTTGATAACGTGTTTTGTTAAAAATTCTGATAAAAATGAATTATGTATATATTGCATATTGTTTCATTGTAAATTACTTTTTAAAATCTTATTCAATTTGTTAATTCAATTTTGTGAGAACGAAATACAGTTCTTATTTCAATTGAATATGAACTGCATACTGCATTAAGAGTAATGACATGTTTAACATTTATAGAAATTTCTTTCAAAATGATAAAACCATCAATTTTGTTTTCAATTGAAATTGAATTAAAAATTTTATGTATATTATTTTATAGTTTTAAATTCTGATAGTAGTTTGTTACACAGTTTAAATATTGCAACTTTGATTTGCTGTAAACTTCGATCCTCAGAAAATATAATCAAAAGATTGTTTTCAATAAATTATTTTCGACGATATTTATCCTCAATTTACTCAAAAGATAAGATTAATAAGGAATGTTATAGAGCAGCTTTTTTACTCCAGGAATAAAATTTTACATCATATGAGTCCGATTGCACATCCATTAAGATAATTGATATCTATTGTCCTATATATGTTTAATTTAATAAGCGTTCTGAAGTAAATTGCGAAAAAGAAAAATTCAATTGATCAATGTAAAATAAAACGAATTATGAAATAAATAAATATAAAGGAAAAGTTGTTTAAGAGATATTTATATATATATTATCAGATTTTAATGACGGATTTAGAAATTGTAATCACAAAACCTAAATATTTTTGACAAATAATCATGAAAACTATCTTGCAGTAAACCATACTGATAATATTGAATGCGACTCGGTATGTAATAACATATTTTTATTCTCGCGAAATTTGTCTTTTTATAAATACGTTTTAATTCAATTTTTGAAAGTTATTTATTCAAAATACGGAAAAATTATTAAATGTTTTTCGATAACTTAGACAATATTTTATTTTTGAATTTTTCTTATTAGCATGATTTTTCATAAATAAAAATTAGATAAGACATAGAAGTCATTATAAAATAAAATAGAATCTGAGCAGTGATATGGGAATTACTATATTTGCATTTATTACATTTATTAATTTTCCTAACTGAACATAAATCAAATTGTCAATCACAAAAATTTATGCAATCATTTAATCGAAAAATTCAATATTACACAATTTATTTAAAACTTCTCGATTAGAAATAATATAAGATACAAATAACATAATTTTTATAATAAAATAGACTAATTCTTCATTGGCGAAGGTAATGGACTTTTCATGTACTGATTCATCTTCACAATTGCACTGTGCTGTGAAGAAACAATAGCATCTAATCTATTTTGATTCTTTTCCATTGCATCAAATTGTTGTCTTACTTCATCAACTATCAAATTCATTGAATTTAATTTATCAATAAGAGATTCTCCTTTATGAGGGAAAGCAGAATTGGTTGGGAATTGAAGAAGTTTATTCATTACTTGTTGTAGCATTTGTCTGTGCTGTTTAGTGAATAATTCTCCATTTTCTCCATAATTAGAAAAGATTTGCCTTGAAATTAAACTCAAATTTAGTTTTGTGTTTAATTTGTAATCTGAAGGATAAGAAAACAAATCGAACAAAGGTTGGAGTTCATTAATAACACTATCTAATGATAATCTTGATGATGACAAACAAATGGAATTAATTCTTCCTACAATTGATTTGCAATTTTCCAAGTTTTTCAATTGATTTTCAATTATTCTGCTTTGTTTTGATGATTTCGAAATTTCTCTTTCTTTTGATAAAATATCCTTTTCTTTTTTATTCAGTTCTGTTTGTGTTTGCATTAATCTTTGTTTAACATCTTCATAATCACTAGAAGAAACTGTGGAGCTTTGTAATTTTTGTATTTTTTCAAAATTATTTTGGTTTTCTTTTTCAATAATTTGAATATGATTTTGTAATTTATTGTTTTCATTTATAGTTTGTTTAAGTAGTTGCTTTAATTGTGAAAGTTTGTTTTGTCTTTTATCTAATATCTTTGTTAATTTAGCTATCATTGTTTGGCTGTCTTGTATTTCTTTATTTCTTACTTTTGACATTTCATCAAATTGAAGTGTCACTTTTCTTAATCTTTCCTTTGTATCTTCAAGTTGAAATGTTGCTTCATTTAATTTCTTTTCCAAGAGATTGCTTTCTTTCTTCTTATCCTTAAGATTAGTAATAAAAATATCTCGTTGTTCAATATCATTCTTAAGTTGTTGATTTTCATTTGTTACTTTGTTTATTACATCTGATAACTTCGAAATTTCTGATTTAATGTTTAATAAATCAGCATTTAACTTAGAAATTTCATCATTTTTGTTTTGTATTTGTTCAGAAAGTTTTTTATTATTATCTTTTGTTGTTTTCAGTTCTTCAATTGCTATTTGTCCTTGTGCATCAGATTCATGTAATTTCAACATTTCATTTGTCATGTTTGATATCCTTTCATTTAATTCATTATTTAGTGATTTTGTTTTTTCAATTTCTTTTTGTAAATTTTGTAAATTTGATGAAATATTTTTCTCATTGTTTTGGGAAGAATTTAACTGCAACAAAAGTTGTTCTTTCTCAGTATTGAGTTTAGCTATTGTTGATGAAGCAATTTCTACTTGATTCTTTAGATTTTCAATTAAATTCTCATTATTTTTGTTTTTATTTGTCAAATTGAACAAATTTTGTTTCAAATTCGTATTTTCTTCTTTCAAAAGATTCAATTCTTTTGTTGTTTCACTTACATTTTGTAGTATTGATTGATAATTAACACTCATTGTATTTAAGTCATTTGTTGTTGTATCTAATTTATTCTTCAATGATTTGTTTTCATTTGATAAATCATTGATTTGTGTTTTGTTTGTTTTTACTTTATTTGTGAATTGGTCAAGTAAATTCTTATATTTCATGTTTTGTGTTTTGATGTTTTTGTTTTCTTTTTCAACACTTTCTAATTGAAGTTTTAATTCATTGTTTTCTTCTGTAACTTTTTCGCTTTCATCTTTGAATACTTTAAGAACTTCTATCTCTTTGTTTTGTGTCTCTATTGTTATCTTGTTCTGTGCTAAAGTGTCCATTTGTTGGTTGTTTTTAATAACAAATTCTTGAATTTGTTTTGTCAGTTTTTTGTTATCGTCTGACAAATTATTTATTATTTGGTTACACTGTTCATTTTTAGATGTTTGTGTTTCTATTGTATCATTTAGTTCTTTGATTTGTATTTGATTCTTTTCGATATCGCTTTTAGATTTAGAAATAACCAAATTCAAGTTTTCTAATTGTTTTTGATAACTTTTCTCTTTCTCTTGGAAATCTTTTTGTTGTTTCTCGTCTTTCTGTAATGATATTTCTCTTTGATGTGTTAATAAGTTGTTTTGATTTGTCAAATTTTCATTTTTAAGTTGTAAATCTTTGAGATCTGATTCCATTTTTGTAATTTTAGACTGGAAATCAGATATTTGTTCAGTATAGTCTTTAACAACTCTTGTTAATTGATCATTTTCCTTTTCTGTCTTACTTTTTGTCAAATTCAAATTATTTTTAATTTCTTTCACATCTCTTATCAATTGTTCATTAGTTGTGTAATCTACACTAAATGTCTTTGATAACTCTATCAATGTTGATGCTTGGTTGTTCATTTTTTCCGTTACTTTTTCAAAAACTTTGTCAGAAAACGCTGCAGTTTTGATTCCCAAAGATTTTTCGATGAAATCTGTGAAAACTGATTTATAAGTATCATTCTCTTCTTTTATCCTAAGTAATCTTGAAACTGATGAATCAACTTTCTTATAAATCTCAAAGAAATCATTAGAAATCTGGAATTTAGAAGGTGATGAAAAAATCTTCATTTTTTGCAACAATTCATTCAATGTTGTTGTTTGTAGATTGGCTTGGTTCTTGTATGAGTCTAGTTCCGCTGATGTAATACTTAATTGGTCTCTCAGTTGTGATACAGAGATCAATAATTTTTGATTTGTTTGTTTTAAGTCTTCAATTTCTGTTGTTTTAGATTCTTGATCAGTTTTTAATGACGTAAGCTTCTTTTGGAGAGTAAATATTTGTGATGCTTCTCTTTCTTGCTTCTGTGTATTCAATACAACGTTTGTATCGACCAAAACTTTGATTAATGATCTCATTGTTTGGAAAAATCGCTGTAAAGAGGATGCTTGTGTCAGAAAACTCTGAAAGTCGTGTAATGTTATTTCAAATTGGCTAATTAAGTCTTTTTGATCGTTCGTTATTCCTTTTTCGATCGCGAGTTGAATTGATTTAGTGGCGAAAGTAATAAATGATGTAATATCTGGATTATTTGTGCAGCACTTACGCTTTAAATCGTCAATTTCTTGATCCTTTTCAAATAATTTCGTATTTAATGAATCTAATTCTGCTTGGTGACGAGCTTTTAGGAATTGTAGTTCTGATTCGTGTTTTTGTGATGGTGACCATTTAGGAGAACGAGATAATTGGCTTTCTGTAACTTTTAATTTTTGCTTTGTTGATTGTAATTCATCTTCAAGCATTTTACTATTTTTCTGGGTATCTTCATACATTTTGGAGAGATGCACATATTTAGTTTTTAGCTCTGTAATATCGGAATCTTGTGTTAACGATATTACATCATCCATTTTCACTCACGAGAAATGAGCCAATTTTCATATTAATAAATTGCTTAATATGCTTTGTCATATTATCACTCATTATATGCATTGATTAGATATTTAGATAAATATTCATTTTTATTTCCGCAATATTCAGAATTAGTAAAAGAAAATTGATAGTTTACGGGAAAATTATTATATGCATAAAAACAATGGATTTTACCGATCAGTAGATCAGGTATCTCTTTGTTAGAAGATTCAAGATATAAATTACAATAGATTCAACTGTATTGTAAATTGAATGAAATTCGCAAGATTTTCTCAATTTTAAACTTGAATTAATTTGTCAACGCTTTGTTTCAATGGGTTAGTGATAATTTTCAAAAATTTCAAACAAAAATCTGAATAATATTAGAAATACAATGTAAAAAAGTGATTTTTGTATTAATATTTCTTAATGTATAATGAGCAAAACGAAAAGTTCGTTTAGTGCATGTAGAACTAACTAATTTCCGTAGATGAATATAAAAAATTTATTGGAGCTTTCCGAGTTGTTCAAGGATAACAGCGGCAACTTCGAGCTGGCGCTTGCGGAGTTCCTCGATGTTCATTGCATTGCCCTTAGCATCGGAGTTAACAACTGTAACGCAAGCAGCTTCAATCTGATGGTTAACTTCACGGAGAGCTGTCCAGTAAAGTGGGTATGTATCCATTTCGAGGGAATCGATCTTTCCGAGCTCGGCTTCGACCTTAGCGAGTAATCCTGATTGCTTGAAGTCGAATTGTGGGAGAGCTGGAGAGTTGACACCAGAAACGAAGGATGGGTTGGAAGCAACTCTGCCCTCGACTGTTGGGATGTTAGCAGCCTTGAGACCTTCGTTGAGAGCAGCCAATAATTTCTCGTTGGCTGGAACTGGCTTCTTGAAGAAGCGGTATGGTGTTTCGGTGTTGCCGCCGAATTCGTTGAAGTCAAGTTCGTAAGCGACGCAGTCCTTAACATTGATAGCTGTTCCGTTTGCGTGGCCTGCTGGAGAAGGAGCAGCACCAAGTTGGATGAATGTGAGCTTGCCCTGTGTGATTGTGCGGACTTCGCGAACGAGGAAGTCGATCATGGCGAAACCAATTCCGAAAGCGCAGATGGAGAGGCGCTTGCCCTTGTAATGGCCTGTGAATGTTGTGTAGCCACGGTTTGAACGGAAGCAGAATGGTTCCTTCTCTTCAAAGAGCTTAGCAATTTGCTCGGCCAAATAGTAATCTGTTGTGATGAGGAAATCGTTGGAAATCTCAGCACCTGTGCAGCCGAAGTGATATGGGCGGCCATCCTTATCGACTGGGATTGTGTTACCACCTTTGCAGGAATCAGGATGTTGAAGTGTCATCAAGAAATGTGGAGGTTACAGAATTTTTTATCGTTATCGCTCATCGTTTTTTGTAGAGAACTTTAAAAATTCAATTGAATATGTAAATGATTGGGGAGAAGCTTCCTAAACTTTTTAATCCCATAAATATGGTCATTATCTGGAATAAAGAGTTAAGCGTCATATGTCACTTTTTGTACTAAGGAAACATCGACTTTATGCGTTATGACTTTTCGATGAGGAAACAAGTGTTCACGTATTATAAACTTCCTTATTCCAATAAACCAACCCTAAACATAATTAATTCTAAGAATGATAATGGTCTCTTTTCTATGATAACCAAATCAATTTGGTTATCATAGTAAAGCACCAAAAACAGGAATAGGAATCGACAATATGGAATCACGAATCAACTCTAACAAAATGGAATTGGAAAATTCTTGCATCCATTCTTTATTTATGCAAAATTTAAATTTCAAACAAAATTCTCGTACTATTCTCAATAAGAGTTGCGGAAACTTATTATTACTCTTATACGAAAGAAGATTTTTCATGCTAATTTTATCGAAGAACTTTATCTTGCAAAATAAAATACTCATTTCCTAGAAACTTAGACTAAAAACGGTAACAATGAATAAACTTCAGTCTAAAAATTAAATTCGTACTATTGTAATTAAATACTTATCTTTATAAACAAATATCATTTTTTTTCCAGTGAAAAAAAGATGTGACTTTTATTGATTGATTGTTTGTAAACATTGCACTTTGAATAAGTATATTTTGTTTAAATTTGCACTTGGAATAAATATACAAAACAACACTGAAATTCCAGCTACTTTTCAATACTAATCATTTTTAAACATTCATTGTCCGTTGATTAGTAAGGCAAATGTTCGATTTTGAGCATGCATATTCAGTGAATGAATGCATTAATTAAAATCAATGAAGGAAAGGGGATAAAACATGAATTGCAACTATGTCGCTATAAAGATATATGTCTCACAAACTGTTAGAATAGAGTTCTTTCATAATGATTGAATATTCTTTCCTATTTTGGTTATTACACGGAATTTCCTTCCTAAACATATAATGTCTTCCTTATAAAATGACTTACTTTCTTTGAAAGCTAGTATATTTTAACATTTTTGAAAATTTTTATATTTTTTTTTTAGTTTTTATTAAAACAATAGAGATTTAAGTATATCCCCTCTAAAATAAGTGTTAATAGTATAAAATCAGGTTAAATTTGATCTAATATGAGTAAAAATGTAAAAAAAAACACACTCATTTTGCATGTAAAGGAATAATCAGAGTTATTCAATAACATTTTACGTATTAAATTATGGAATTACGATATCTTTTGAACAAAATTCAACGTAATTAGCAGAATGAATTTAAAAAATTGCTAAAAGAATGATGTACATTGATCATACATTAAAGTATCCTAATCAGAATATAGTAATGCATTTTGCTATATGCACATTATATCAACTCTATACACATTATTAAAATATATTTAGTAATACATGATAGAAAAGTGACAATATTTTTCAACTCTATATACTAGTAAGTACTATATCAAGTAATTTAACAATTTCATATGAAATATGCTTTTTTAAGCGTATCAAAGCTGTGTTCTTAATGTGCATGGACAAGATAATTATGAATTTTGTCGAAACAAAGAAGGTATTATTAGAGACAATGGCCAATATTTCATTTACTTTGTTTCATTCTATGGTATTGAAAATCGGGCAAGTGTCAAGATCATAACTCAAAGTTTAAATACCAAAGTTTTGATTCACACTCGTATTTTTGATAAATGCACAACTAATGAAGAGATATTTAAAGGTGGCTCTATCTATGTTTGATATTGTTACATAAAATGTAATTGGTTAATTTTAGAATTGTAAATTTTCAGGAGTATTTTGACGCATTTTTGAAAAAATCATAAAATAATTAATGGGAATAATAAATAGAAATGAAAATGAGTTTGATGCATCAATCTGCATGAAATTATGTAATCTTGAAATGGTGGAAGAGTTTCGAAATTTGAAAGAACATGAACAAAAACTTGAAAACTAAGATGTCCTGCATTTTCATTGTTTAATATCATTCCTGGATCTGATTTAAATGTTTCACTGACTTCATTTGATATCATCGAACATTCTTCTATTGTCATTGATGATGTAAGTGACTGATATAAATATGCATAAAAAAGTGATTTCCCCTTATTATTTACAAATGAACATTTTGATATTGTGACATTGACTAATGATTCAACAAACGCAATAGCTTGCATTTTTTCAGAATTATTGATAATCATGTTTTCTGAATAAAAATGTATTCCAGTATACCAATAAAGAATTCTGCTTCTTGTTGCAGAATTAGATGAAATAATAGAATACTTAAAGATGCTTCGAGTTGAGAGTCGAAAAGCTGTCTCATATTGGCACTGGTTATTCGTTTCGTTAAGATAGCAAATTTTAATTTGCGAATCAATTATAAATGAGGCTGCAAAATTCCCATTTCCTTTACATTGACATATTGATGATAAATCAATATTACATTTTGTACTCTGTATTTTGATCGATTGGCCACTTGCAGTTGCATTATTTGCTGAACAATTCTTGCAATAAACTTTGGTGATAATAATATGACCTGAATATGAAAATAGGAGACATCCACCTGTTATCTTTTCATTTGAGGAACAGTTATCAAATATATTTGTGTGAATGAGAACTTTTGTGTCATCGTTTTGACTAGAGATTTGAACACTAACTTGATTAACAATATTATTGAATAAAGAAAAATAAATGAAATATTGACCACTATTTCGAACAATACTTTCTTTATTTCGACAAAATTCAAACTTTTTTTCATTTGGGAAATAATCAAGCCAAATTAATTGATATGAATGTGTCATCAATCAGTATAATTCAAAAATTCTTAATCTTACTAATCATTATATGAATATTCAATCATCATTCAATGTTCGTTTGGAAGCAATCAAAACCGAATGTAAATTATCTGTCTCCATAATATAAATATATTTATGATGCATTTTTATTTAGAATCGATATCTATCGTTTTTGTTATAATTAATAGAGTTGAAAAATATTGTCACTTTTCTATGAGGGTGTAAACCTTTCAATTCACTCAATTTTTAAGAGAAAGACGCAAAGAATATGATATCTCACTTAGATGACATCATTTCAAGCATTCCTTTTGCAAATTTTCTTATTTTTTACCCGAAAATATCCTCATTCCTATAACTTCTTAATAAGAATGAACAATTATTTATTTATTGTTATAAATCTCCAATAAACAAATTATGAAATGTAAGCCTAATGATGCAGAATGTATTTTGAGATCAAGCTGCATTATATAAAGTATTTAGAATTTAGTATTTAAATTTTGGAAATAGAGAAAGAATTTAAATTCGTTGAGATCATTTGTGTTGCATGAAATTATTGTCTGCAAATAGCAAGAATCTAATATAATAATTCCAATAGCAAAAAATCGTATAAAATGATGATAGAAATGACTGAACCGAACAAGCATAGAAAAGAGAATAAAATTAAGTATTATTAAAAGTAATCCATTAGTTTAAAAGAAAACAAAGTTGCTAATTATGAAATAATCATAAAATAATTAATGGGAATAATAAATAGAAATGAAAATGAGTTTGATGCATCAATCTGCATGAAATTATGTAATCTTGAAATGGTGGAAGAGTTTCGAAATTTGAAAGAACATGAACAAAAACTTGAAAACTAAGATGTCCTGCATTTTCATTGTTTAATATCATTCCTGGATCTGATTTAAATGTTTCACTGACTTCATTTGATATCATCGAACATTCTTCTATTGTCATTGATGATGTAAGTGACTGATATAAATATGCATAAAAAAGTGATTTCCCCTTATTATTTACAAATGAACATTTTGATATTGTGACATTGACTAATGATTCAACAAACGCAATAGCTTGCATTTTTTCAGAATTATTGATAATCATGTTTTCTGAGTAAATGTGATTCCCAGACGTCCAATAAAGGATTCTATATCTAGTTGCTGCGTTGGAGTTAACTAATGAGTATTTAATATTGCTCTCAATACTTATTGTAAAAGCTGTAACATCCTGACACTCATTCTTTGTTTCATTAATAGATTTTATAGTTGAATGAGAATTTATATCGAGTACTGGTGAATATGATCCAGTGCCTTTACAAAGACAGAAAGAAGATGAAAAAATGTTGCATTCCGAGCTATGGATAGAAATTGACTGTCCCTTTTGATTTGAATATAAAGAAGAGCATAACTTGAAATATATTTTGGAAAATATTATATTGCCATATTGTGAAAAATGATAGACACTTTCATTAGATGTGCAGTTATTAAAAATACAAGTATGAACAAGAACTCTTGTGCTCGTACTTTGACTTGAAATTTTGATGCTGGATCGATCGTGAATGTCATCAAAAGAAACATGATATATGAAATATTGTCCACTACTTCGAACAATACCTTCTTTATTTCGACAAAATTGAAAATAAAAAACATTTGGAAAATAATCTTGCCATAATAATTGGTATAAATGTCTCATATATCACATTTTTAAATTTTACTTGGAATTATTATTGAAAATGAGAGAAACATCGTTTCCTTCAAATATTTGTTGTGACATTTAAAAATTAGTTTATCGTCTCCTACTTCATCTCAACAAACATGTTGAAATTTTTATTACCAAAATCATCAGTAACTGTTGAAGAGCAATAACCATGAATTATTTCAATGCATTTTCAAGTTTGTATTTAAAAGATTCTGAATTCAATAAATATATTACTAAATTGAGCAATATTTGCATAGAAATTTGTTTGTTTATGTATGATTCATTCTTATCGGTTAGTTTGGCGTGATTATTTCCCTGATGAAAGGAATTTTGAATTCTGCCGAAACATGGAATGGATTGCTAGAGGCAATGGATAGTTCTTCATTTATTTTGCTCATTTTCATGATGTTGAAAATCGCTGCAGTGTTAAAATTTATAGTCAAAGCGAAAACACAAAAACTCTTGTTCATACATGTTTATTTGAAAACTGCACAACTAATGAAAACATTCAAACTGGTGGATGTCTTCATTTTTTAGATTTCGGTCACATCATTGTCAACAAAGTTAATTGTAGACGGAACTCCGCAAACGTTGCTCCTAATAGCGGTCAATCAATAACTATCCGTAGCCAATTGCCATACGTATCTATGATATCTATTTGTAACTGTTATGGAACAGGTGATTTTGCACCAGTATTAGAAATTGATTCACATGCCAAATTATCCTCCTTGAATGAAACGAAGAATAAATGCAAGGATGTTACTGCTTTTTGTTTGTTTACAAATAGTTCCTTAAAGTATTCATTATTTTCAACAAATTTGGCAACTCGATATAGAATACTTTTCTGGGGGAGCGGAAATCATTTATTTTCAGATAATATGATTGTCGATAATAATGAAACATCTCAAGGAATTGCATTCCTTGAGGGAAATTCAACACTAACTTTATCAAAATGCTCTTTCGTAAATAATAAAGGAAAAAAAATTATTTTATTCCTATAATTTTCGAAATGGTTTATCAAAAATGATAATCGAAAAATGTTCATTAATAGGAAACAAAATTGAAACGACATACTTTTCTGATCCTGGTGTCACGAGTTTTCAAGTATTACTTCCATTCATTAGTCCTTTTGAATCTCTACTTCAATATCAAAATTATATATTTTCATGCAATGGAATAATGTATTGTCGCTATCAGATATTGATTTACTTTATTGAAATAATTATCATGTAAATATCTTTAAATAAGAGAGAGAGAAGTTAGCAATCAATTCGAAATTATTCTAAATATACTGCTTTTCATCGACATATGATGCTAAATCATTTCCATTTCTCTACTTCATACTGATGAACAATTTTCTAGTGTCATAATAGCACTCACAGTAATGTTTTACAATGATGATACATTTTGCATTATTAAATTTGTTGTTCCTTCTTTGAATGCAATCAATTGATCATTTTCTGAGTTGTCTAAAATAATATTAACTGAGATTAAAAGATTTCCAATCCAAAGATGAAAGTGTTTTCCTACAAATGCAAAAAAAAGCAAAAAGGATTAATCTATATTCAATATGTGCATTATTTGTGTATTTTAAAATTAATCCGTGAAAAGTAGTCAAAAATGAATATTTCTTTTATATTTTTTGCACATGCGACTGTTGCTATACTTTATTAATGGATTTGATTTTTAATAATGTTCAACTCCAAATTTTTTCAAATACGCACAAATATGCAAACTCAATATTAAATAATCGCTTTTGCGCAATTTTTGCAGACGTTACATCATCGCATGAAATATTCGATTCATTTAAAAATTCGAGTGCTGGTGAGTGTTTCCTGTTTAATTGCAGAAGCAGGTTGAAGAAAAAGATTGGCCACGATAGGATGCAGTTTCTGCCAAAGAACAACGACAACGAAATCTGGTAACAAAAAGAGCTATGATTTGATTTACTTTTTAATATAGCAGTAAGATGATTTATTTTCTTAATCCTTAGGTTATAAAGATAATCTGTTAATTTGATAGGTGACAATAATGTAATTCGTGCAAATCCATCTCCTCGATTGATTCCGTAACTTAAATTGCCATTTTGTATTTCAATATCTTTGATTTCATTTATTTGATTTGGTTTTTGGTTAGAATAAACAAATCCTGAACCTCCTGCTCCAGAGGCTCCGTTATCTTTGCCACAACTTCCACCAAACAACCCTCCTCCCGAGCCTCCATGCGTTCCATTCATATGAAACGCACATCCACTATAGAAAAATCCACTTAAAAATCCCTCACCTGGTGAATATTGCGTTCCTCCAGTTATAGTAGGAAGACTTCCATTTGCTCCAAAGTCTCCACCACCATATCCTCCTGGATTTGAAACAGTTTCTAATTCCAGAGGTTTTTTAATAGCAACAGGGGGATTGCAAGCTCATCAGCTGGAGATTTAGTCTCATTCACAACAACCACATCACCAACAGGTGGATCAGTTCTAGGGGTATAAGGAGTACGTTCAGTACCACCATCAAAATAAGGATTATCGCCGCTAATAATTTTGTGATATAATCCTTGTGCCCCTCCACCACCAGCAATAAGAAATCGACTGCGAATTTCATTTTCAAACATCCTGAAGTCGGTTGCACCTCCACCTGGACCTGAATTATATCCGGGGCCTCCACCATTAAATGATTTACCGCTAGGTCCTTCATCAGTCCAATCTCCTTGAGAACCAATAAATAGATACAAAGGAATTTTCTTTCGAATCGTAATTTCGGCACGTGCATAACCTCCTAAACCTCCTTTGTGACTTGCACTTGTATAAGAATTATCTTGAGATCCTTGGGCACCATATACTTCAAACAAATAGTGTCCTGGTTTAAGTTGGATCTTGAAACCTGAACATGTTTGTTTATCTGAGCAAGGATATATAAATTTACATGAAGAATCATTGCATTCTGGATTATTAAATAATTCACTATTTAATAATGAATACTCGCCAAATTTAATTTCGTTCGACATTTCATTTTAATTTTCTTGCGTTTTCTTATAAGCTTCTTCTCTATTTTATCATTTAATAAGAATTTAACTCTGGTTTAGAATAAGATAAATTAATTTAATTTGTATTCGGAGTAAATTATTTTACAGCAGATCAATAATTTAACCTTATTTTGGAGTCAAAAAGAGGACAAGAAGTGTCTCAATTTTTTAAATTTAAATTTATAATAAGAAGCAGTAAAATTGCGACGTGATAATGGATAATCAATTTTATTATAAAAATAATTTGAATAAATTGAGATACAGTCCGATTATACATGATCAATATTATTTGTATCGTTCTAGTAATATTTGTAGATTTCCATATAATCAACAATTTAATTTCGATCTGATTCTCGCTTCAAACGCACAAATATTGTATTATCTTATTTTGTATCTCAACCTCAATATAATAAAAAATACAATTTCTCTCCATTAAAAAACGAATTCTAATGCAAATATTAATCGAAAATTTTGGGACATACGATTATTTTCCATTGAAAAATTTCTGCAAAAAATGTTATAAAGTAATGGTTTATTCTGAATCCAATAGATGGATAATGTACTTAAATCCCAATGAAATTAGTATCTTATAAGCTACTGATGCCTTTATGGGGTTAAAATTAAATTTGAAATTTTAATTATTAGAAGGACTAATGAATCTTTGAATAAAAGCATCACCTCTGCAGTAGGATGGATGAATCGGAAAGGAATTTAAGGGATTTGACCATCAGTTGAGAAAGTTTGTCCATTAAAATTATATCGTTTTTTTATAAAATAAATGTATTATTTAATGTACGCTATATTGAAATATCAATGTTTTAAAGCTTTATTTTTCAAGGGAAAATAATCATACGCCCTAAAATTTTTGCGATTCACCTTTGAAATTAGAATTGCTATTTATGGGCATATTCAGAAAAATGCTCGGTCGCTGTCGCTCCCTTCGCATTTTTCTGAAAACGCCCATAAATTTCTAATTTAGATGCCCTTTAAGAATTACTTTTTATTTATAAATATAAATATAGTTAGAGTATTTATTTTCTTATTCTTAAAGTTATAATGATATTCTGTTAGTTTTATAGGAGACAACAATGTAATTCTTGCAAATCCGTCTCCTTGGTTGATTCCATAGGTCAAATAACCATTTTTTATTTCAATATCTTTTATTTCGAATATTTGATCAGTTCTTTGATCAGAATAAACAAATCCTGAACCTTCTGCTCCTGAAGCCCCTTTATTTTTGCCGCAACCTCCTCCAAACAACCCTCCTCCAGAACCTCCATGTGTTCCATTACTATGAAAAGCGCACCCCCTCCCAAAATAACCATTGAGAAAGCCATCACCGGGTGAATATTGTGTACCTCCTGTTATATTAGGAAAACTTCCATTTGCTCCACTATCTCCCCAACCATATCCCCCTGGATATGATATCATTTCTATTTCGCGAAGTTTGGATCCTGATCTAACAGATCTAGTGTTCGGCTTGTCTGGTTTGACTGGTTTTTCTGGCTCAAGTTCAGAACCAGTGTCTGGTTTTTCTGGCTCAAGTTCAGGATCAGTGTCTGGTTTTTCTGGCTCAAGTTCAGGATCAGTGTCTGGTTTTTCTGGCTCTTCTGGGTCTTCTGGTTCTTCTGGTTCAAGATCAGACTCATCATTAAAGTTGTAATATACCCCTTGTGCCCCTCCACCACCAGCAATAAGAAATCGACTGCGAATTTCATTTTCAAACATCCTGAAGTCGGTCGCACCTCCACCTGGACCTGAATTATATCCGGGGCCTCCACCATTAAATGATTTACCGCTAGGTCCTTCATCAGTCCAATCTCCTTGAGAACCAATAAATAGATACAAAGGAATTTTCTTTCGAATCGTAATTTCGGCACGTGCATAACCTCCTAAACCTCCTCCTTGACTTTCGCTTATATCATGATCTTCCTGAGATCCTTGAGCCCCATAAACTTCGAAAAAATAGTGTCCTGGTTTAAGATTAAGCTTGAATCCTGAACATATTTCCTTATCATCACAAGGGTAATAAAATTCACATGTTGAATCATTACATTCTGTATAATCATATAATTCGTCATTTAATAATGAATACTCGCCAAAATTAATTTCAACCGACATTTAAATTTAAATTTCATATGTTTTCTTATAAATTTCTGCTTTGATTTATATTTTAATGAGAATTTAACTTTTATCTAGAACTTATTGGGGGTAAATAATACATTTCTTTGCATTGGAGTAAATTATTCGAGGAAAAGATCCACTTTTTTCGGATTTTTTTTCTTGCCGATTTTTTTCAAAAGTATATAGAGATATGGCAGTTACGCATTTTAACTGTGCGTATCTATATGTTGGTATTTTTATGAGCTGTTATTATAGTGATATATACTAAAGTCCCTATATTATACTGTTTGTTTGTTCAAATAAAAATACCGAAAATACATCATATATATTCTGTCTATTTAAAGATTTTGCATAATCGGGAATGAAGTCCCTCAAATTCTGTGCAGAAATTTGTAAATATATTGAATATCGTGCAAAATTCAATATACTATTATATTAAAATAATGATTTCACATATTCATTATTTGTAACATTATAAATGAGGCTGCAAAATTCCCATTTCCTTTACATTGACATATTGATGATAAATCAATATTACATTTTGTACTCTGTATCCTGATCGATTGATCACTTGCAGTTGCATTATTTGCTGAACAATTCTTGCAATAAACTAATTATCGTTCCCTTCAAATATTTGTTTGGACATTTAAATTTTAGTTTATCGTCTCCTACTTCATCTCAACAAACATGTTGAAATTTTTATTACCAAAATCATCAGTAACTGTTGAAAAGCAATAACCATGAATTATTTCAATGCATTTTCAAGTTTGTATTTAAAAGATTCTGAATTCAATAAATATATTACTAAATTGAGCAATATTTGCATAGAAATTTGTTTGTTTATGTATGATTCATTCTTATCAGTTAGTTTGGCGTGATTATTTCCCTGATGAAAGGAATTTTGAATTCTGCCGAAACGTGGAATGGATTGCTAGAGGCAATGGATAGTTCTTCATTTATTTTGCTCATTTTCATGATGTTGAAAATCGCTGCAGTGTTAAAATTTATAGTCAAAGCGAAAGCACAAAAACTCTTGTTCATACATGTTTATTTGAAAACTGCACAACTAATGAAAACATTCAAACTGGTGGATGTCTTCATTTTTTAGATTTCGGTCACATCATTGTCAACAAAGTTAATTGTAGACGGAACTCCGCAAACGTTGCTCCTAATAGCGGTCAATCAATAACTATCCGTAGCCAATTGCCATACGTATCTATGATATCTATTTGTAACTGTTATGGAACAGGTGATTTTGCACCAGTATTAGAAATTGATTCACATGCCAAATTATCCTCCTTGAATGAAACGAAGAATAAATGCAAGGATGTTACTGCTTTTTGTTTGTTTACAAATAGTTCCTTAAAGTATTCATTATTTTCAACAAATTTGGCAACTCGAAATAGAATTCTTTTCTGGGGGAACGTAAATCATTTATTTTCAGATAATATGATTGTCGATAATAATGAAACATATCAAGGAGTAGCATTCCTTGAGGGAAATTCAGCACTAACTATATCGAAATGCTCTTTCGTAAATAATAAAGGAAAAAATTTATTTTTTGTGTATTTATATCAAAATGGTTTATCAAAAATGACAATCGAAAAGTGTTCATTAATAGGAAATGAAATCGAAAGGACCTATTATTCTGCTCCTGGAATGATATTGAATGCGGAAAATGTTGGAGTCTCGAGTTTTCAGGTACTTCTTCCATTACTAAGTCCTTTTGAATCTCTACCTCAATATCAAAATTATGTATTATCATGCAATGGAATAATGTATTGTCGCCATCAGATATTGATTTACTTTATTGAAATAATTATCACATAAATATAGTTATGTTAACGCACAATTCAATATTTTCCCATCATTTTTCAGAAATAGAGACTTGGTCTCAATGAACGATTAATTCGTTTCAATCAAAAGTATCAAATGTTTTCATTTTATAAAATGCTTGTAGTTTGGTATGCCTAAAAGGGATATTTTGTGTATTGAGTAACTATAATTTATGGTTGTTTTTGTTAAATCTTCATAATTTTAAATTTAATTAATCGTTGATAATTTCGTTTGAGTATAGTTTTAATGGGGCCAATTATTACAAATTTTCCCCTTATAACCTTGAGTTGTCTAAAGGGAATTACATTTTTGAATTATGGGGCTGTTCGAGTGGATTCTTATATATTAATAACAATAACCCTTCGGGTGTTTCATATGTTCGTGGATATATTCCTCTTTTAGAGAAAACAAAGTTTTATTTGCATGTTTGCTCACAAGGTTATGACAGAATGACAGAATATGTGTATGGTGGAGGTGGTGAAACTGATATCAAATTTTTAATCATTGAAAAGTCGAATTATCGTTGCTGCTGGGGCTGGGGCTTCAAACACTAATGATCAAGGAGGCCCGGGCGGAAACATTATAGGTTTTAATAGTAAAGGTAATAACGGCAAAGGAGACACCCAAACATCGGGAGTTTCTGGCTCCGTGAATGGCACTTTTGGACTTGGAGGTGGCGACCAATCAAGAATTAAAGATGGATTAAATTCGAATGGTGGTGGTGGTACCATATTCAATTTCTGGTATGATATGCCAGTATTGAATTTCTTTTATCGAGACACATACTAAAATTTCAGAGAGGTATAAGCAGCCACTTGTATAATTGTTCTCATGAGATGTGCAATGATTAAAAATGCAAGTATGTAAAAGAATTTTAGTATCAATACTTTGACTTGAGATGCTAACACTGATATGACTTCCAATATCTTGAAGATAAACATAATAAATGAAATAATGACCATTATTTCAATTAATTCCTTCTCTGTTTCGACAAAATTCAAAATAAACTTCGTTTGGAAAGTAATCATGCCAAACTAACTGGTATGAATGTGCCATATATTACATTGCATGTGCATTAATTGAACTATAGAATATCAATTTTGAAATTAAATTGCTATTCATAAAAGCATTAATTGAATTTTCGATTAAAAATATCAAAATATCATATTTAATTTAAGAGTAAGGTGAGTTATAGTTTATTTTGTTGATCTTTCGCTACGATTCAAAATTATCATGAAATTGCACTTAATTCATTCATTCAAAATTTTCTATGTGAAATAATCTGTATATTATGAAAAAAAATGAAATTTTGATTACAAATAATTTTTAGAATATATTACAAATGAAAGATAGTTTTAGACATGTTCACTGATGTCAGATGGATTTGCATATTTAGATGCAAGAACTGCAGATTCTTGGAAGAATTTAGATTTGTAAAGTATCTGTACTCTCGAATCCAAAGAAGTGATGTTATAACAATATATGCAGCAATACAAATTGACCAGATAATGCAGTAAACACCGGCAAACTTATTACTTACTTTTGACAAACAATCAATTGATACAATGAAGCCAATAGATCCATAGTCTAAGAAACCAAGTGCCAAAAGGAACATGAATATGATGAAAATACCATCTGCAACTAGAAATCCAATGAATTTAAGTGATTTCTGCAACTTTAAAGCATTATAGAGTGTGAAGAAACTTAATTCAAAGAGAAGTGGAATTCCAACGAATATGAACAACAAACTGAATACTATGCTTGCTGCAGGTGACTTAACTGCTGATCCTGCCCAGAACAAAATGATCAAACAGCCAATGAAATTCAAAATCAGCAGAATTGAGCCGACGTAGATCAAAATCATCTTCTGTTTCACTATTGGAAGTGAGTCTTCTGGGAGATCTTCGTCTGGATAATATGCATACCAGTTTAGGTATATTGGGAAGTTCCTTTTGTGTGTGTTAAGCTGATCATATGTACCATTAGCTTTAGCTTCTTCAATTTCTTGTTCTCTCTTAGCGATCAATGCTTCTCTCTTTGCAAGTTCTTGTTCTTTTCTTGTCATTTCTTCTTCTGTGATGTAAATTCCAGTTGCGGGATCTTTATATCCATTTTTAGTATTCTTCATCAAGTTAATAGTCTGTGATATGATAGAATCTGATTTCTTAGTTGTGTTTGTATCTGTCTTCTTCGTTTCGGGTTCTTTTGGTTCAGAAACATTTTGATTATTTGTGACTTCTTGAGAAATTGAATTGTTTTCTTGCTTTTGAACTTGATTATTGTTCATTTCAGGGTCCTTCAATGGCTCATCATCATGTTCAAATGGATTATAGTTGTCTGCGCCAAGGATGAATGGATTAGTCATTTCGCGTAATTATGATGAATTTTGGATTAAAACTTTACGATCAATTCAATTTTGATAGAATTAAAATCTAATCTTAAAAATTTATAATAGATAATAAGGCTTATGATAATCTATGCTATGAAATTAAGATGAATTAGATGATGCAAACGATCGCTGATTTGTATTCAATTCAAATTTGAATGATTCTCCAAATGAAAATTTTCTGCGGTAAGCGATCATTTGTAAATCATGTGATTTCGTTACACAATATTTAATTTTGTCTAATAGAACTATTCATTGATGAATCAGTTCAAAATTATAGAATTAATAATATAGAAAAAAATAATAGAATCTAAAATGGCGTATTTAAGATACATTTCAGAATATATATTTATAGTTATCAACAAACCTCATTTAACTGCAAAAAGAAAATGTGTCAATTAATCAAATGTTCGTTAAATAACTAAATCGCATTGGAACATAATATATTCATTGCTGTCTATTTACTGCTGCATTAACTCTTAGTGAAAATAGATAATAAAAATATCTCAATCAAAATCGTTGGAAAAAGTTCTAAATTCTTCATAGAAACGATCTTATTTTGTAATTTGATGACACTTCAGATAATATTAATTCCTTTTTTGCTGGATGTGGATATCAAATTCTGTATTCTTGTTAAAATCGAGATCATAATAACAGTAATCGCTTATCTGACTATAGCATTACTAAGATATATATTTCTGTGGGATAGAATTTAGTGTTATGCTTTTGTCAAAGAATTTACAATTTGCAATTAGATTGAATCATAGTTGCGGAAGGTTCTCGAATGGCTCTTTCTATTAAATTTTTATATTTGACGAATTTAACTTGTTTCAAATTATAAAACTGTGTTTTAGAGCAAATGTGGATTCAATAAATTGTTAAAAATGAAGCTAATGATGCATTTTCAAAAAAGTAACATTCATACTGAGTTTTGGGAATGTTTGAAAGGCTGTAATTAATAGTTAGAAAGCGGATTTTGAGAATGAAATAAGTTGATGAATTGTCGGGCTTTTCGAATTTTTCCAGGAGCAATATATCTTAAATTATATAAGATGTATAATTCTATTATTAAATATAGATATTGACTCAAATCATTCAAAACATTTGAAAGAATTCAACTTCAGTAAAAAAAGAAATGAGTGATATCGATCGACAGATAATGAGCTCATCGATTGCATTTAAAGTATGAAGGTTTGCTTTTATCGGTAATACAAATTAACGTATTAGGTATTGAAAATAAAACAAAAACATTCAGAAAAAATTCAATATTCCGAATGAAAACTGAAAAAAAGTCTTTCAATTTTTTCAATTTGATTTGAGACTATTGTTGATATAAGCAAGGGTGTTATAATTTTTAATTATTTTGCAATGCATGTAAAAATCTGTTATCTTTTTAAATTGATCCAAAAAGTTCATGTTTGTAATCAGCACATAATAATACGCATATTCTTTTTTATATATTTAAATTGTGATGGAGTGGTGGTTTTTTCACGTTATTCATTTTCTATCACTTCATTCTCAATGGTACGTGAAATTGTTCACATCCAGGCAGGCCAATGCGGCAACCAAATTGGTGCCAAGTTCTGGGAAGTAATTTCCGATGAACACAGCATTGATCCAACAGGCTCATACCATGGTGACTCAGATCTTCAACTTGAGCGCATCAACGTTTACTACAACGAAGCTACTGGTGGCAAGTATGTTCCACGTGCCATTCTCGTTGACCTTGAACCAGGTACAATGGACTCTGTCCGTGCTGGTCAGTTCGGTCAGCTTTTCCGCCCAGATAACTTCGTCTTCGGCCAATCCGGTGCTGGTAACAACTGGGCTAAGGGCTACTACACAGAAGGCCAGGAACTTTGCGAATCCATCCTTGATGTTATCCGTAAAGAGGCTGAATCCTGCGATTGCCTTCAGGGCTTCCAGCTTGTCCACTCCCTCGGTGGTGGTACAGGCGCTGGCCTTGGCACACTCCTTCTCAACAAGCTTCGTGAAGAGTATCCAGATCGTATCCTTTCCACATACTCCATCGTCCCATCTCCAAAGGTTTCTGATACAGTCGTCGAACCATACAACTGCACACTCTCCGTCCATCAGCTTGTCGAGTCTGCTGATGAAGTTTTCTGCATTGATAACGAAGCACTTTACGATATTTGCTTCCGTACACTCAAGCTCACAACACCAACATACGGCGATCTTAACCACCTTGTTTCCATGGTTATGTCCGGCACAACATGCTCACTCAGATTCCCAGGTCAGCTCAACTCCGACCTTCGTAAGCTCGCTGTCAACCTTGTTCCATTCCCACGTCTCCACTTCTTCATCGTTGGCTTCGCTCCACTCACATCCCGTGGTTCCCAGCAGTACCGCGCTCTCACAGTCCCAGAGCTCACATCCCAGCTCTTCGATAACAAGAATATGATGGCTGCTTGCGATCCACGCCGTGGTGTCTACCTTACAGCCTCCGCTCACTTCCGTGGCCGTATGTCATCTAAGGAAGTCGATGAGCAGATGCTTAACATCCAGGCTCGTAACACATCCTACTTCGTCGAGTGGATCCCATCCAACGTCAAGTCCGCTATCTGCGATATCCCACCACGTGGTCTTAAGATGGCTGCTACATTCATCGGCAACACAACAGCCTTCCGTGAACTCTTCACACGTGTCGACTCCCAGTTCCAGAAGATGTACGCTCGCCGTGCTTTCATCCACTGGTACGTCAACGAAGGCCTCGAAACAGTCGAATTCGATGAAGCTCGCTCCAACATGACAGATCTCATCCAGGAGTACGAAATGTACGAAACAGCCGGCGTCGAAGAACAGAGCGAAGGCGAAGAAGATGAGGAAGGTGAGGCTGCTGCTTAAACAATTTTTATGTTGGTTCCTGATAACTTTTTGTAATTTTTTTAATAAAAATTATTTCAAAATTGTTTTTAATTTTCATTCTTTATAAGTTTGTTGTTGTTATCTTGAAAGAATCAATCATTTCTATGACAAATTCTTTGATTTCTAAAAGAAATTTGAAAATCATTTTTGGAAATTAAATCATTATATAAGAGATTTATTAAATGGTAGAGTTTTTGAGTCATAGTATCCATTGTTTCAACAAGATTTTCTAGTGCTTATAGATATATCACTTATATATGATCGAAATAACAGCTATAATAAACATTTGCAAAGAGAACATATATAACAAAAGGATATATGTAACATGGTAGATTGTTCTTATCAAAGTAAATCTCAATTAAATAATATATTGAAATTAAACTATTATTTTAATGAAATCTTTTTAGAATTTGTTAATGCAGTGATTTTTAATGTATTGTATCCACTTCATTTTTTGATTTATAAATTTAATAATAGAAAAAAATCAGATATGAACCATCATTTTCAAATTTTTTATAAATTTTTTGATTTTTGAAATACTCAAGTTCAACGCTATTTCCTTGACAAATAGAATAGAAAGTAGCTTGACTATTCATTTTTATGTAGGGCTGTACAAGATTTAAAAAAACATTGCCGGGTTACCGTAGAGGCCTAAAAAAATCGCGCCTCGGCGGCAAGCCGCATCGGCATTAAGAATGCGCATCTAAATTTTTATATGTCCTTCTTTCTTTTATTTTTCCCTTCCCTTTCTTTTCTTTTTCTTTTTTTCCCTCCTCTTGCTCTCATTTACCTTTTTTTCCTTTTCTCATCATTTTTCAAAATTTAAAATTTTTATCAAAAATCTTGCCTATAAAAGCAGACTATGGAACCTTTTAATGCCTCTTAATCAATATTATACAGCATAAAGCATATTAAATGAAAGTAATTACGTATAAATTTATTTTATTATCTTATTTATTAATTCTTTAGCATGTATTGTTTAATATTAACTTTTCTGTACATTAAATATGATATCTCCAAAGTATGAATGCCTTGTAACGAAACGAAAACTTAATTTTATGTTGAATATTTGTCGGGAAGAAACGTTTTTCCCGAAAAATAATCGTCTTTTGATGTTTTTCCCGAAAATCGTTCCGATCATGACGATAGACCCATAGGATATTGATTTTGGTATGAAGGAGTTGAATTTCACTTCTGAAATTGATATGATAGATAGCTCAGAACATATGAATATGAATTAACTAATCAAAATAGTATATTATATAAATATGCTAACTTAATTAAGATAATTTAATTGATATAAGGGAATTATAATACAATTTAAGTTAAGGGCATAAAATTCATAGGCTATATATTGCATCTGCCATTAATATTATGTTAAATTCAATAATTTTATAATGAGAATAAGATTCGAATCAAAAAAGTATCGCAATATGAAGTAAAATACTGGCGACTAGTTACACATACTTATGATATATGATATATGACTGTGTTTATGGTTAAAAAGTAGTTTTATAAGTAGAATTTTAATAAAAGTAAATTTTTATTCATAATTTAAGAAATTAAACAAGGAAACTCACTACTTCGAAAAATTTCATATGAGTGAGCTGCAAATTTGTAAATAAATCGCGAAATAAAAATAATATTCAATCGTATTTAAATTTTTTTATGATTTGTATAAGCAGATGATTTTAGTGCAGTAATTGATGTTTGAAAACGAAAAGCAATGCTTGGATTTGTAAATTGAAATATGAATCGCGAAAAACTCTGATTAGTAAGTAACACGCTTTTATATTTCGATAAAATTTATCGTCGATATACTAAATCTGATAAAAATTCGATAATTGTAAAAAATATGATGTAAATTGTAAAAGAGTTGAAAATGTTTGGGGTGGCTTGAAATGAATCGGAGGATGTAATAATTTGGTACTAATTTAATTGCATTAAAATGCTAAAATTATGAAATTGTAAATTTAATCGAAAGATATGAGTTTAAATAAAGAAACGAGAGATGTTTTAATTAAGGGTTTCGTTTTGCAAAAAAAACGTACAATACGCAATTTCGCTAAAAAAACATTTAGCTAGCAATTTCG